AAATCAAGTTGTGAGTGAAGGAGGCGGTGACATCAATGGTTCCAATGATAACGAAAATATGAACACAGTAATGACCAACCAGCAGAAACCTGTTCCTCAACAATTTCAAATTCCACAATCTTATTCAAACTCTGATACAAATAATCAACCTTATTTGAGCATCAACGATCAACCTGTTGTTTAATTTTTTTTTTTTTTTTTGACTTTTTTTCAACCCAATGAATGTATCATCATCAATTTAATTTTTGTGTTAACATTAATTAGTAATTTTGATAAACATAATAATATTGTATAAATATCAATTTAGTAATTTTAACAAAATAAAGTTTTATATAAATCTGCATAATCTTTACAAACTTGATCATTTGTGTGAATAAATAGGAACATTCTATGTAGTAGTTGTATAAAATCCAAATCCTGGGTTCTATTATTGATTTCACACATGTCAATTACGATTTTGAATTTGGTGTGCAACATATTAATATATAAATTGAGCCGAATACACATTCCATCAACTTTGTTATGCTCGTAAGGTGTCCATACTAAATCTGAGTTAGGATAGGTATAGTAAAGGCTTTTCAGTAATTAATCTATTTGCAAATTTAATTATTTCGATTAATTCAATAATTGGTTTATCTGGTTTATTAAAATGTTTATTCCCAATTAATAAGTGTGAAAATTTGATATACAGTTAATAAATTGTTAAGGACTTGAAATATAATTTTGCGAACATATTCTCTTTTCCCATTCTTAGTAGAATTACACGTGAACACTTATCAATTCCTGTTACTTCTGTTCCATACGAGCATCATTTTCTGATGCAGGAAATTTGGTTACCTCTAAAAGAACACATTTAGGGCATGAAGCAGTGAATCAGTTATTGTTTGTAAACAAAAATTATTTATATCATTTGATCGAGTAATATTAAGCGTCAATCATCCGAATCACCCGTGTATTTGGTCTGATGGGTGATCCAGATAAGTCTTTTTCGGACGGATTCAATCTCTATCCATCGGCCAATTTCTCCAACTCATCAGCACCCTCAAACTTTTCAGATTTCTCAGTGAACCAATATATAATTCCGACCTAAGCTTTCCTTTGTGATGCTAAGCAAAATGTGTATGGTTTCTAATCAAAATACTTTTTGCAATCAGATGATACATACTGGAATGTTCTTGATAACTGTTATTTTATCCCGATTTAAAACTAATTTAGCGCCAGTTTTTCACTTTGAAACTGTTATTTATATATTATGGTCAACAATTACGGGGATAGGATTTTAAATTAATTGGTGGAATTTAAAATTTAACGGTAATATTTGAATTCCGTATATTTCATAACGTATTAGTATGTATTCAGTACCTTTTAGACAGTTTTTTATGGGGATGAATTCATTGTCTTTGACACCAATGTACCAATTCTCAATCCTATATCCATTGGGATGAATTCTCTGACTTGAAAATTCATTGGCTATGCAATAAAGCAGTATGTCAAAAGTGCAGCCCAGTAAACCATGATCATGAATGCTACGTTTCGGAATCTGAATATACACGCCTGCTTAATATTTCAGTTCCTCGCCTGAATCTAAAAATCTGAAATGAAAAAAAAGTAAATATCATCTATAGAAACTCTTATTTTTTTTTTTAATCTTTCATTTCACTTATATATGTTAATATTGTCTCTATTACAACATTAACCAAATAATGAGATTCACCAGGCAGTGAGTGAATGTAGCACTTTTTCCTTATTTTTATTTGTTTTCCTCCCACACCTTATAAAAACTTTATTGGTTGGTTCCCTACGACGTAAATAATAACAATAATAATAATAAATTAATAAACAATACACTAAATTTAAAAATTTTGAAATTATTTTCGAAATGGATATTTTTCATGTTAAAAACTGTCACTCTTTTCTAACAAACTTTACATCAATCATTCTTTTATTATCTTCATTTTTGATTTCTAATGTTAAATCTTTGTCACCTCCACCCTCTTCTTCAGCCATCTTTTCCACCGTTTCCTTTACATCTTTTTCACAACCTTCATCCGACGATACTACTGATTTACCTTTTACCACTAATGTTTCTAAATCAGACTATATCACACATTTATTGATGCATTCATACAAGCACTAGATATTTGTATCGGAATTTATTTTTTTTCTTCACATAGAAGTATGAGACATAGAGATATAAAAGTATTTGAGTTTACTTTTACAGCTTTACTTAACTTTTTAAGCATGATTCTTAGCACACTTGGAATGATCACTGGGATTGACAAAGAAGTTAGACCCAGAGCAATAATACATGGAGTAATAATTGTATTTTTTTGGTTGTTTTTGGAGCTAGTTTATTATAGATCAAATTTTTTAGATAAAGAATGCGAAGAAGACCGTATAATATATATAGCTTACGTGATTTTATTAAATGCGGTTCGTTTGTATTTTACTACAAAAAATTTCAAATTTTTTATTATTGAGATTTTTAAAGTAATTGCAATTTTGATGAGTAATTATATCGGAAATCTAAAACCAATATCATTGGTTATACCATCAATTATCCAAGGCGTGATTTTATTACGTCTTAAAGATGATTATGTCATCATAAGCAGACACTTGGTATTGATTGCAATTAGTTTACCTCCAGTAATAGCCTTGGTATCTCCTGCAATTTTTTTATATCGGAGAATTAAAAACAATGATATATTGTTTCCGAAGTTTCAAGTTATTCAGATTTATAGTAGGATTCAATATTTTCTAGTTGTTACATTCTATTTTCTGTTTTTTTTTTTTTGGTCTTATTTCATGTTAGTAACGGCAAAATCTAATCATTATAATCAGGATCTTTTAACACTTCTATCTGTTGCTTCCGTTGTTGCTGTTGATAAACGGAGGAAGACAACATCAAACGTGTATGTGAAGAGAAAATTTGACCGACCAATTAATTAATGTTTTGGACAAGGAAGAAGATAATGCTGAAGATATCCATGAAAAATTTGTTATAGTTGATGATGATGATGATGATAATGATAATAAACTGTGAAATAATCTTGATTCTATACTCCTCAATCTTTTAGTAACTTTTGTGTTTTTTATTTGTGTTGTTGGATGATGATGATAAATTCCTTGGATTTAAGAATGTCTATTTGCAACAATAGCTTCTCGCTTCTCACCAACATACAAGCCTTCAGGATCATGAAACGTGATACTTTTGCTCGTGTAATCTGCTACTGATATCTCCACATTTTTTTATCCTTGTCTTCTTTCAAAAAGCATTGTACATTTGGCGTGAAATCTTAAACATCATAACTTCATAACCTCTTCAGAAAATGTCATTGCCAACAGCTAGGATTCTTCAGACCATTGATGTGTATGTCGAGTTTGATTGCTTGGTAAACTACTAACTAATAGATAATATAATTAATTCATTGAAATATTATCATTAGTGATTACTTGCAGCAAAAAACCTACTTTAATTTTGGCATCAAAAAAAAAGATCACACGAACGAATATACACAACCTTTAATTATAAAACATCTTGAATTCTAAATAACTGAATTCTCTCATTTAGCTGAAACACCACCTCGCCAGAGACTGTTTCATTAGTTTTGTGGCGATTTTTACCAATCTGATCATGAATAAAATTGATGACATTTTTGACGATGATAAAATAATAAAATATTACATTTATTGTCATTTGGTGCTAGTATTTATAACTTGAATCAACAATAAAGTAGATTTACAATCAACATCACGAGAAATTAAATTAAATGCAGCTATGATCAACCAAATTTGATTAGCTTTAATTATGCAAACACTTTATTCTACCACTTTGGTATTATTAATTTATTGTGATCTACCAAATTAATATTAAATCCAATATTCAAATTTTTATCATATGTATACGTGCAAACACATGCACAAATGAGCAAAAAAAAAAGTGGTTTAGTTTTTTATTTTTTTTTTGTACAGTGTGTTACAAAAAAAATTGGAAATTTTTAAATGAACATTGTGAAACAACTACTGTATTAGTTCGCGTGAAAAATGGCTCATTTGATAGTTTAAAATAATAATTTTTATTGATAAGATTTTAATAAGAAATCCTTTCGCCATTATTTTCAATGACCAGTTCACATCTCGATTTCATTGAATGAATTAAACTAATTAGAAATGAATTAGGAATTGCATCCCACTCCTCAGCCATAAACTGCACCAATTCCGCCAGATTTTTTGGCATTTTCTTCTCCACATTCCTCTTAACAATAGCCCACAAATTTTCTATTGGGTTTAAATCAGGACTGTTAGATGGCCAATCCAACATAGCGGGCTTTCTCTGTGATTGGTTGATAATTTATAATATGCCGATCGTTTTTATTTATTACTTCCAAGACTAGATAGATAGATTCTTAACAATAATTTTATTTGTAATTGGTAATAAATAATTCAGCAAAAACATTAATGTGGGAACTTTTGCTATAATAATAATTGCAATGAAAAAAATATATAATAAAGTACACATATGGTACAAATATCCC